GATCTCCTACGAATTAAAGAAGTGGTGGGTGTTAATCTGTGCATGTTTTTAGGCACATAATTTGCCTCGTTATACAAAGGTTTTAGATCGATTAGGATAGTATTTTAGGTTTATGGGCTAATTTGGTGACTTTTGGTGATCCAGGGATTTAATTGCAAAATGTATAAAAAGGTGGGCAAAATGTGGCAGATTGGTGAATTTTTGGGCGCAATTGAAAAAGTCATGATTGGACTGATGGTGCAATTCATGGAGGCTAATGAATCCTGCGGGAATTGGAGCTACCAAAGACCAAATTCAGTCGATCCTTCAAGGCTAAGGAAAGAAAGGCAAGGTGATGAAGTGATGCTGCTGACAAAGGGAGAGATTAATGTACCTTAAACCTGATTAATCCAACCAAAATCAACCCTAAAGGTGATTAGAGAGGGGGGCAGAGAAGGTGAAGAAGTATGGGTTTCCTCTCTTTTGCTTAAACCTATCGGGTAAAGAGGAGACCAACTTGGCTAAGCAAGATTACTCCCCCCAACCTCTATATGAACCAGCAGCAGCAGAAGAAGGCAACAATAGTTAGGAAGGAAAATTTAGAGTTAACGTTAGTTCAGTTAGGATTAGAAACAGAGTATAAATTAGGAAAGCAGACTCAGGGGTGTCTGTTGGGAAGTGAGAAGCTGACTCTACGAAGTCAGCAACACTTCACCACATTCCCTGACTTTGTTCCTCCCCTGTTTTCTATCCTTTATGTTGTAAACATGGTGAAGCTTCTGTACTTTGATTCTTTTGTGTTTAAGTTTCCCATCATGTGTAGCTAAACTCTTTTCTAAGGTCTAATCCCTCTACTCTATATAAGTATGTTTTAATTTAGCTCTCCCATGATAATTGTGTGCGTAAACTTAGAGTTTTCATGATCCTTTTAGTTGAATTGGCCACTTGACTAATTGTACTTGTATGTTAGGGGAACCCCGAAAGGGTAAACGTAACTTAGAATGTCTAAGATTATCCGGTGACGAGGGGCTAACAACCCAAGGTTTCAAACAACAACGAATGTTAGTTGTTTGGTACGAGGCAATCATACGGGCTTAGGAACTTAATGGCTTAGTAGTATTCTGGAGTCAACAACGGAATTTAGTGGGCTTATTACTGCTAGGACTGCTGTTAGGAATATCGTGAGGGACCTTACAATATATTCGTGCCTGATTGAACACAGTTTCATACTACAAAGAGAGCAATTAAATCGAAGCATATGCATATAGAGTAGAGAGGAGGACGAACCTAGGTTTCATCAACTTTGTCAAGTCACAAACTCACTTGCCCAAGTCTTAATTTTGTTCACACATTGGATAATTTGTATTGAATCCCAATTTTCATATAATATTTTCCTTTTCTATGGGATCAACTCTTCTTATCACTTTCTACAAGTTTTAAATAGGTTCTTGTTTGGTGGATTTGACACCCATCAAGAAGGTACAATGATTTTAAATTTATTTGTGATTTAGATTTTATTATTTGTTTTTAGCTGTTTATTATTGTTTATTTCTCATTTTTTCAGTTGCTGAAAAGGGAAAGAAAGCTGAAGTGAACTAGGATTTGCCATGATCAAATTCAAACTGGCTTGAACTTTACTTGTAGGTTTTCCTTAGTTTTTGAGCTCCATACACCTATTATAACCTGAAATCAAGATGTTGAAAGTGTTGTTGTTGTGGTTCTGAATTTGCAGACTTCCAAGTTGAAGGTTCAAATATTATTGATTTATTTTTGAATTTGCAAGATTGCCTGCATTGCCTCCTCCTGTTGTCTATTGAATAACGGTTGAATCCTTGAAGTTAAAGACTGTCAAATTGAACTGTTAGACTATTGAGTGTTGAAGACTGAGAAAAGACAGATAAAACTATTACAACTTAATATTGAGAATCCCACATCGGTGGGAGAGACTGAATATCAATATATAAGTCCATGGATTACTTCTCATCGCTCATTGGTTTTGAGGTGAAATCTCATAGGTTTCTGTATGGTATCAGATCCAGCTCACTAACATTCGAACTCCAAAAAAACAACCCAAAAATACGTTGGGTACTGAGATGTGAAGCGATGCCTGGACTAAAGAATAGGACAAGCCCAACCCAAAAAATATGTTGGGCTTGCGGGGGAGTATTGAGAATCCCACATTAGTATTGGGAGAGATTGAATATCAATATATAAGTTTTTGGGTTACTCCCTTCATTTCTAATTGGTTTTGAGGTGGAACCCCATGGACTTTTGTACTTTTTATAATCAGCAACTAGTTTTCATAAACTCCAAGTAGCCAATGGAGCTTTTCCTAAGCAATCCCCAACTTGAACTTCTAAAACCTCTTCTAAATAAACTAGTGATATCTGGTCGCGCAATGCGCGACCCTGGCCCAATATATATGTAGATCTTAGAAATGTTTGTTTCTAGAAAAAAAAATATTTTGTATTTGGCCCGATATATTTTAGAAATATTTGAAGAATTTTAGAAATGTTTTATAAGTGTGATGTTTGTATTTGGCAAAAAAATAAATTGTATTTGGCCCGGTACGTTTTAGAAATGTTTGAAGATTTTAGAAATATTTTATAAGTGTTACTTCTTAAATATAAATAAACTTGATCAAATATATGTCTTGAAGTAAATGGTAGACAAAATATAAAAGCATCCTAATAAGTTTAAATATTAGTAAGATAATTTATTGATTTTCTCCATTAGTTGTGCCAAATCAATCCTTAGTTTTGGAGATTTATAATAGCTTTGTAGTTAGCTTTTTCCAAAGGGTATACGCTTAATTGTTGGAACTATTTCTTCCAAAAGTTTACAGGTAGTAAAATATCAAAAAATGATTTTGAAACTGGTTAATTGTTGAAACAGGTTGATCACAAATATGAGAATGAAAATAATATAAATTTGCATAGGTTTCAAAATATAGCAAAAAAGAACTCACCTCACGATGGCAAATAAAAAAAAGTAAAAGATAGCCCATTAAAATTTGAGAATTTTTATTTTTTTCTATAGGTAAAAATGATGTATAAAAACACAAATAAACGTAGAAACATCATTCCTTCCCTCTCCACCTCAAATTCATAAAATGATACTCTATAAATTAGTTAAAAGAAGCAATATGAACTATTTATATGATGAGGAACTAAAAAAAGTCTAAAAATCAAATCCAAAAAAGTATATTCTTGAAATCCCGAACACAAAAAAAGAAACGTGCTTCATTTGCAAATAAAATAATAATAATAATAATAATAATAATAATAATAATTGGTCAACTAGGAGTATGAAACAAAATCAAAAGCAATTAAACAAAGAAAAAATACACTTCATAATTGGCCATATACGAAAAAAACCTGAGACTCCATAATTAAAAAAAAAGAAAACTACTCTAATTGAATGAAACATAAAAAATAAATTTTAAAAACCACACTTTGTAACAAAACCCCAATCAATCAATTCAATCCAAACATAACTATAATCATACAAAAATTCTAGGCTAACTAACCAAATAAGAAATCACATCATACTACCTAACAACGACTACGGTAGCTGTAACGGATGGACACATAAAAATAATAGTAATAACACTATTCTTGAACGAAAAAAATAAAAAATAATAAAAGCCAAACAAATGATCTGTGGAAATAAAATCATTTAAATTTTAATACCTGCAATGGCACCACCACAACGGCCAAAGCAAGATCAATGAGAAATTTGTTTTTCCCTTTGTGTTTATATAGAGAGGTAAAGAGAATATTTTTTGAAGTTGAAATTTTATCCGATTAAGATGTAGTTGATAATCACTAATGAAAAGATTGAATATGCTAATAGGAAAGGAGTATATTTCACCACATATTCTCAATTGATGATTGATGAGGAATTTTTTTTTTTTAATTGTGGAGAAGGGATTGATTAAGGAGTCGATTATCGTGGAGATGGGGATGAGGATTTGGGTTTTTTATGAACCCGTAATTTTTTTTTTAATTTGTTTTGATGAAAATAGGAGGTGGAAGTGAATTTAGACTGCATTTGACTTTTAAATTTAGGAGATGTGGTAATAAAAATTTCTTTTAAAAATATGATATAAAAATGGCATATGACAAATGATGGTGCTTTGTCTTAAGTGTGGTTTTTATTTCTAATATATTAAGATGTAAACTTCACTACTATAGCAAGCCACGTTATTTGGATTGGGCCATGCAAAGTTAATTCAACGTCAACTCTATGAACCACTCAAAGTTCTACGAATTCAATTGGTTATCTTTTATGATAACTTAGGATTTATATAATAGATTGGTTTTCGTGCGAAGTTGCTAGGCTTAGGCTAATTGCTTGAACTATCTAGGTATGACAAGGATTTTTCATGCGAGTTTTGTTACTCGTTATTTTACATTGATGAATTGAATTTCAAAAAAAAAAAAAAAAGAGCAAAAAATCTATTATGTAACGTTGTAATAATTTACTTTTCCTTCAACTGAGATTGCATCCAAATTGACATCGTAAAAGTGACCCCCGGCATAATTGACCAAAAATATATGTGTAAAAGAGAAAATACCCTTTTTAGCTAAATATAATTTTTTATTTTATTTTATTTTATTTTCAAAAAGTAAACGGTGTAACGTGTTATATATGGAACATGTAAAGAGCCCACCATGGTTTATTGTATACGTATGTTGCTAGGATTGTTGCGCACATAGACAAGTCGCCAGTAATTAGGGTAGATAATTTCTGAGGATCAAAACCATTCCAACAATTTCCTAGTGTTTTAAACATTTGCCTCTTTTTTAGTACCAAAAAAAATAAAATAATAATACAGATAATATAATATTGTCGCGCCTCTTCTCTCCTCCAGATTTCTTTGATACTACTCCAAAGCACATGAAACCATGAAGGTTGGCATTTGACATTCCCAACGCATGCAAGACATCTATAAAATAAGTCTAGCTGCACGGTTTACTACACTGCGCGCATCCATCCAGCATCATCTTCCTAAAAAGCAAATCGCATTTCTCATCAATTTGACATTTAGATAGCGACCCTTAAGAATACACTCCAAGAATCTTTCTGTGGGAGATAAATTAATGGAGAAAAACGATGATCAATTCGAGGAGTTTTTCCAGGGATTGCCCAAGAATAATGTAACCGGCTATGTGTTAGCTCAATACAAAGGCTTTTGGTTTGATGCACCATTGCTTCAAGGTACACTAACATTCCGCCAGCACTTCCAACAGCAAGATTCAGACATTATTCTCGCCACCATGCCGAAATCTGGCACGACCTGGCTTAAAGCCTTGGTTTTCAGCATCGTTAACAGAAAAACGTACCCGGATCTCAACAACCACCCTTTGCTCTTCCACAACCCTCATCGACTTGTGCCTTTCTTTGAAATCAATCTATACAAAAATGGCCAAATCCCTGACCAGGATCACATAAACGCTATTCCTAGCCCGCGAATTTTCGCGACCCACATACCGTACCAGTGCCTTCCGAACACAATCTTAGAAGCGAATAATAATTCGAGTTGTCGGATTATTTATCTTTGTAGAAACCCTTTGGATGCATTTACCGCTATGATGCATTTCGTGTTACGAAATGGTTTGCTTCCCCAAGATGGACATGATCATCAATCGGCCATGTCTTTGGATGTACCTTTCAAATCATTTTGCGATGGCACATATCAATATGGTCCTTTCTGGGATCATGTGTTGGAATATTGGGAAGCAAGCATAAAAGATCCTATCAAAGTAATGTTCTTGAAGTTCGAGGATCTTAAAAAGGATATCAATTCTTCTGTGAAGAAAATTGCCGAGCACTTGGGATGCGCTTTTTCGCCCGAAGAAGAAAACGGAGGATTGGTTGAAGAGATTTCAAAGCTTTGTAGCATTGACAATCTCAAGAACCTGGAATGTAACCAAAAGGGTGAAACAGAAACTGTTCACAAAGCTGCTCATAATTCATTCTTCAGGAAGGGAGAAGTGGGAGATTGGGCGAATTTTCTTACTCCTCCCATGGCTGAACGCCTTGAACGCTTGATGAAAGAAAAATTTGCTGAATCTGGCGTTACTCTGAATATTCATGGCTAAATGAGCTTTGGACCATTAGGTCTTGCAGCTTGTTCGGAAATATTCCTTTGTGTCGAAATAATTATCCAGTTTGGATTTTCATGTGTAGTTCAATTTAATGGTAATAAAGATAAATTCTTACTGAATAAGACAATGAGAATATAAATATGTAAACTTTGATCTTGTATTCTGTTTATTATGTATGAAATGTATCTGTCCTTCTTATAATTTCAAAAGGAATTGTGCGTGATTTGTGCTTAAGTTAGTGAGGGAATGGATAGTTGCAATCAGGTATATGGCAAAGTGTTCTCTATAAACTGCACTCTTATGAGTGAGTATTTTAATTCCCTCGCCCTAATTCTTTATGAAAATTAGTGAGTTTTAAGGCGCTCTGCGCGAGGGTGGTAGAATTCTAGAAAGATTTTTGGTATAATCTATAGTATATTATACTGAGAGAGAAACTAGAGAGAGAAAATAAAAAAGAATTATAAAGGTGAGTGTTTTTTAAATTACCTTTGTATTAGTCTGGGATAAGGAGATTGTTGAGATTTTGTTATCTTCAAGTATTACATTTATAGTTATAATATATCATTAGTTTAAAATAATTGATTAATTGACATCATTATTTTGCACTGATCAAGGCTTCAACACGTCAAAATTATTAATCTTATCTATTAAATGTGTATATCCAAGTTTTGTTGAATTATTATATTTATTGTTTATTTTTAAATTGGTGTAAATTAATATGTTTACGTGTGAAAAATAAATTCAAAGTTATAAGAGAAAAAATGCCTAATTATAAATGATTTTCTATTCCATTGCTAATATCAAGTTTGTGCATTTTTAATGAAAAATTTCAAGATGTATAAGACACACTTGAAGCCTTGAACCCATGCCACTCACTAGATATCCCTAGAATGTACGTATGCATAAATTATAAATTGTATTCTTATAAAAAAAAATTCAGTGTAAACATAATTTTCCATAAATTATACATTTTATTCTTATACTTAGTGATTAGTCTCGGGAGTCATTTGTGCATAAATTAATCTATACTTGGTTTTTTATTTAATTTTAGTTGTATAAGATGTATATTTATCGCATTATACATTTTTCCTGTGCAATCTGTGATCTACTGTCATTTTATAGATGTAATATTTTTATTTATAGTGATGATGTAATCTGTGGTCATATAATATCTATCGCTACAAACAATTTTTTTTAATTGTATTTACCACATTTGAAATTTAAAATGTTTTTTTATAAGTGTATATGAATAAACCCCGCACATCGTGCGGGTTTAACAACTAGTATGATACTGAGAGAGAAACCAGAGAGAGAAAATAAAAAAGAATTATAAAGGTGCCACATAGGATAAAATTCTAAGTGTCATTTTTTATTGGTTGAGTCAAAAAATGTTTACAACAATTATACTAATAGTCCTTCAAATTTTATGTAAATAAAGTTTTATCAAATGGCATTTAAAACTATAGTTTAAAATAGGAAAATAAAAATTAATTAAATTTAATGGATGAGATTAATGAACATTAATGCACTAGAATTATTCCCTCCCAAAAATAATCCCTCTCAAAAATAATCTCCAATTAGTATTAATTGATTAATTTAAATTATAAGTTCAAAGGGATAAAGCATTTATTATTTTCAACATTAATTCACCGGGATTTTTTACCCCAGCCAATTCGAATAAAAAAAAAAAGCCCTCTACAAAATAATCCCTAAAATCACTATTTGATTGATTTAAAACCTAAGTTCAACGTGCAGGAAAGTGGGAATTCTTTAGTGATTAAAAACTAATCAAATTTACTTGAAAAGGACTAATCAACATTAATGCAATGGAAGTCATTTCCCCACCAATATTATCCCTTAATCAACATGACGTTATCATCTTTATTCCATAGTTATGAATTTTACTTTAGTTACTGGTTATGATATCTCATTCAGACATTTACTATAAATATCCACTTCGGTCTAACTCTAACATGTACAATGACAACCGGTGAAACACTGAAGCGAAGCATCTTATATACTTTACAAAACATCTTTGCGGCGATGACCTCACTCCGATCATGTTTTATTTAACATGTAAGGTGTCTCTTTCTCTAATTGTGTGCAATCTTGATTAACATGCGTTTTTAACCGTGTAGACATAAATTGCTTTGATTTATATGACATGTAACATCTGATTTATTATTTTGGTGGTCTTTTTTACTTTTATTTGTATATAATCCTTATACATATGCCATTATTTAATTACATTTTTGGCATACAATTTATAAAATATTGTCATTTCAAAGTATATATAACAATTTTATTTATCACGATCTAATTTAATTTGAATCATATATTTATTATTACAAACCAGTTTATTTGTATTAATCACATTTAAAATTTAAAAATATATTTTAATAGATGTATATGTATAAACCCCGCACATCGTGCGGGTTTAACATCTAGTAATACATTATATGATCAAATTAGGTTTTTTTTTTTATGGTGACTGAATTAGTTCATATATACATTTATATATATAATAATGATAATAGTAATAATCACTTGATCAAATGATCAAAACCAAAATACTTTGCTTTCGTATTAGTAAGAAAACCAAAATACTTTGCTTTCATTTTCATATAAATGATCAAATGTAATAAAGTTTACCCATCTAGGAGGCGTATAATACAGAGACGGTAGCAATAGACCTGTTTCTTTATCTATTATTATATATTATATTAAGAGAGAAATTAGAGAAAGAAAATAACGATTCTTCCTAAAATCCAACATAGGATAAAATCCTAGGTAGCAAAGTCATAAAAAAATTAAAAACCAACTTTCAAAATTTATTCTCTTGATGTTACATCCCCTTTGAACTTCAAAAATAAGTGAAAAACACTTGTCCCATATTGGAGTTGGGAAGCCTACTTGATCAACATATATACTTCATGTGCTACTCCCCTCATTGCCAATTGGTTTTGAGGTGGAACCACATGTGGGCTTATATGGGCCTTCAAAATAATATTAGAGCGGGTTTTATCCACGGACTTTGTGGGTGGACTTTGACCGATCTGGCAGTTTCTCCGGTTTGACTATACCCGTATTGGGCTTTGACTGACCCGGCAGTATATCTGAGAATTTTGATTATGTCAGGAACGGAGATATTCCGTTCAAGAATTCGGCAAGAACCCTTCGCCGAAACGACGTCGGAAAAACAAGAAAAGGGAAGGAAATGGTTAAACAGCCTGAGATTTCAATTATTTGGAATATTCGATACATTTTACAATTTTGACTACAGTATATATAGTCCGACTAATAACCTGAAATTACATAATAACCCCTTTATTTTTTATAGAATTCTAAAATAGCCCAAGGCATGACAGATTACCCGTATTGGGCTTTACCCATATTAGACTTTATTTGATCCGACAGTATATCCGAGGACTTTGATTTACCTGTGTTGGGCTTTGATATATTACCCGTATAAAGGTTTTAATTGTTTAAAGGGGCCTTGTCCAGCCCCTTTGGGCTTGAGAGGGGGGTGTTAACATTCCCTTTGAACTTGAAAAACAAGTGAAAGACACTTGTCCCTGAGTTGGGAAGCGTACTTGATCAACATATATACCTCCTGTGCTACTCCTCTCATTACCAATTGGTTTTGAGGTGGAACCACATATGGGTTTATATTGGCCTTCAAGACTTGCCCTCTAAAAAGAACTAATAACTAATAAAATGATCCCAAATAGATATTTTCTAATCAATGCGTTTAAATATAATGTTTAGTATATTGAATTGAAAAGATCCTCAAATATAGTGAAGTAATTCTGTAATAATATTCGGACATTAAATACTCAATAAATGGAAAAACTGATCATAAATTAGGATAATGGACTTTGAAAATGACAAAATTCTGAGCTTGATAGGAAGAACGAAAAAGAACTCATCAATCTGATCTACTGAAGAATCAAGCTTGTCTATTTATACATCATCAAGCGACTCTTATTACTTTCTGTATCTACAAATAAAGGACCTACCTATATAAGAAGTTTCTAGGTTGTGCACGAAAGATGTGATCACACCAAAAGGTTGTTATGGTTGTTGATCATGTGCAGAGGAATGATCTGCTGCAGCAGAATATTAGAGATACTGGGCATTGTCACATCTTCGATTCGTGGCGATAACGATTGAGATGCCATGCATGCAGAACCTTTGCTATTGATCATTCTCCCCCAAGATAATTAAGCACTCCACAAGGTCATCTTGGATGGAAGAAAAGAATACACAGAAATTGAAATGTTTTTTTCTCCTCCTTTCCAGCTTATTTGTTGCAAGCTCCAACACTAGTTTTCCCATTTATAGAGATCTTTGGTGAATAAAAGTCAACCATGACTATGTTGGGTTTTTAGTTTGTGAAATAAAACCAAAACCAAAAATTGCAACCCAAAGTTGGTTTAATATTTCTGGAACCTTCTAAAAGGTATCAAGGAATTGAAAGAATATGAAACATGATAAGTATTCATGAAAGGTTACGTTGGTGACTTGGAATTCAAGGGTTATAAGCCTTGATTCATATTCTTTCATTTTCTAGTGTTTACCTATAAATAGGTGTACTACTGTAGGTTTTTGGGCAAGTCTTTTTGCATTTTTAAATTCTAAAAACAACATTTAATAATTGCAAAATTGCATGTTGTTGTGCTTTTCGTATCCTAGAGACAAATTGGCAATCAAACCCAATTTTGCAACATAGTATAGGCAAATATTGTCTTAAGGACAGTGATTACACGCTTAGAGTACATCAAGATCTTTGCGATTCTCCCTTTATTGTCACATTCAAACTTTTATAAATAAAGTTCATCTTTCTTCATCTTGTTATTTGGTGTCTCTTTTATTTTCTCCTTTAATAGTACTCCTATATATCCTTCAAACTACACTAGTTGTACATGAGTCAACCATTACTTTACGAATCACATTTATAGCGATCTTTGCAAGTTCCAATGCTAGTTTCACGTTTACAGACCAAGGAACCATTAACAATAATTTTTTCAAAGAAAAAAAAAAAATTCACCCCACTTGAATGTGGAAAAAACTTATCTTACATACCCTACCTTGAATGGGAATGGATTCCTCTATCTCTAGGAAATCCACAAGTCAAGACATCATTCCATTAACAATGACTTATTACATAAGATATGTATGAAAAATTGACTGAATGGTTCAAAATCAATCGTACAAGTTATTGGATCAGATTTTTCATATACATAAGAGTTGTTTTAAGTTATGACCTTTTAATTATCAATTATACACTCAATCGACTGTACTACATAATTTTAAATGTTGATTATAGTTATTATTTTCAGCAATTAGAACCAAAACTGGTGATTCGGTTTCAGTTTACAACGATTGCAAACTAATTTGTGAAATAACTAGATTGAAATATTATTCTAAATAACTTCTTTTTTTTTGGTACAATAAAGGAGGCAAAATGCCTAAAAGTGTTACTCTATTACAGCACGTTGGTATGAAATACCAACAATATCATGGTATAGCCGAGGTTTCAACGATGAAGGAGGATCTTCAAACCAGAGAACACCTACCGGTGTTGAAATAGCCAAGCTTGCTAATGAATCTGCAGCAAAGTTCCGTTGATGAATATGACTCAGCTCCACCGACCATGTCCTGTCCATTAGCTGTCTGATAGCCTTTATTAAACTCCCATGCATCCCAAAACTTTGTTCTTCCCTTTTTATCATCTTAACCACACTCATATTATCCACTTCGATTGTTATTTGCTTGAAACCCAACCCCCAACATTGTTGTAGGCCTTGGAACAAACCCCAAAGTTCTGCCCCTGTGATTGAGCAAAACCCGATGTCCATTGCAAACCCTCTACACCATTGACCCCTATGGTCTCTCACAAGCCCTCCTGTCATTGCCATGCCCGTCTTAGGGTTGAAACACCCGTCAGTATTGATTTTTAACCAACCCTCCCGAGAAGGAAGCCACCACAACCAGCAAATCTCCCTTATTCTATCAGCAATCCCCAATTGCCAATCAGAATGTCCGGCACCCCTTATTCCCGCCACAATTGAATCCACTTCTGACAGTCTTTGTGGCTGACTTACTGATTTATTGTTAAAAATTTTCCTATTTCTCCATAACCAGCACCGCGGTACTGTTATACCAAACACACATTGCCAATCATCACGTTTCATACTCATCTCCCCTGACAAATTCTTCTTGAGCCAATCACCCAGCTACATCGAGAAAAAGGTAGTCCGAAATTTACTTGGTATCAGCTTCCACCAAAGCCAAGCTGTTAATCATCTAACGTTTACTTGGTATCCTAAAACGTTTCACAATTTTAGTACATGATGGATGCATGGGTGGGAGAGTTGGGTACATTGGAGATTATCATTAAACAACTAAGGTCGAGATGTTACTTCTTCTTAGGATAAACTAATCATTTTCTTAAAAACCAAAAATGATATATGCAAAGAAGATTGAGACGGCCGGTTTTAATTAGAAGCCATAAAATCTGTTATATTATTAGGGTTTATACATTGACAGTCTTATATAATACAACAAGACCGTAAAACGGTAACAATGAACCGTAAAATACAACATTATTATTTACATCCGTATGACCCCCCTCAAGTTGGAGCGTGGGGATTCCGAATGTCCAACTTGGACAAGAAAAACTCAAACTGCTGTTTTCCCAAAGTCTTGGTGAATATATTCGCAAGTTGCACATGAATAGACACATAAATGGGTATAATAGTGCCGGCAAGAATCTCATCACGAATGAAATGACAATCAACCTCAATGTGTTTCGTGCACTCATAAAACGCAGGATTAGCAGCAATATGTAGAGCAGCCTGACTATCAAAATATAAACAAACTGGCGAAGAATGCGAAATGCCAAGATACAAAAGAAGCGCCTTCAACCACTTCAACTCACAAAGAGTGGAGGCCATGGAACGATACTCAGCCTCGGCCGAAGAACGAGCAACCGAGTGTTGCTTCTTAGTCTTCCAGGAGATGGGAGAAAAACCAAGCTGAATGAACCAACCCGTAAGAGAACGCCGAGTCAAAGGATAGCTAGCCCAATCAGAATCACACCTGGCAGACAGCTGCAAATCACAATCAGAAGGAAGAAAAATACCATGTCCAGGAGTGCCCTTCAAATAGCGAACAACGCAAAGAGCAGCATCCCAATGAGCCTGTGTAGGCTTCTGCATGAACTGAGATAAGGTATGTACAGAATAAGATAACTCCGACCGGGTGACTGCCAGATAAAGCAAACGACCAACCAGGTGACGATACTGCACAGGATCTGGGAAGAGATCACCAGTAGCGGAAGCAAGACGATGGTTCTGCTCAAGTGGAAAATCAGTTGGTTTAGCCCCCAACAAACCAACCTCAGAAATGATGTCCAGAGCATACTTGCGCTGACAAAGAAAAATGTCAGAGGAATGCCGAGCCACTTCGAGGCCAAGAAAATACTTAAGAACCCCAAGATCCTTCATATGAAAATAGCGATGCAAATACTCTTTGAAAGACTGAAGTGCAGTAGTATCATTACCCCAAAGAATGAGGTCATCAACATAAATAAGAACATTAATCTACACAGCCGCTCGCGTCAAGGTGAACAAAGAATAATCAGAAGTAGATTGCTGAAAACCATACCTACGAAGAGCACCAGCAAGTTTAGCAAACCAACAACGAGGAGCCTGTCGAAGACCATAAAGAGATCGATGCAGGCGACAGACCTGACCCGGTTGAGTCCCAGAGAAACCAGGAGGTAACTTCATATACACTTCCTCCGTAAGATCCCCATGTAAGAAGGTATAATGAACATCCATCTGATGAAGCTCCCACCCCTTAGCCGCAGCAACAGCTAGAAACGTGCGAACAGTCACCATTTTTGCAACAGGAGCAAAAGTCTGATTATAGTCAATGCGTTCTATGTGGTGGTTATCGAGAATGACCAGACGCACTTTATAGCGCTCAATCGCACCATCTGAAAGGTATTTAATTTTAAATACCCATTTGTAGCCAATAGCGCGTTTCCCAGAAGGAAGTGATGCCAAAGTCCAAGTCTGATTCTGCTTAAGAGCCTGAATCTCCTCTTGCATGGCTTTTGCGAAAGTACGAGGATCGACACCTGCAACGACACTAGCCAAGAAAACACGATGGCGTGCAGAAAAATTGTCACAACTCACAAATTTGTGTACAGGATAGGATGTACCTGAGGAAACCGATGAAGCAGATGAGTGAAGAGAGGGGCTGGCGGGAGTGATGGTGTGAGCAGCAAAATCACAAAGACGAGTGGAGCGATATTTGGTACGATGACCACGACCCAGTAATTCTTCTGACGCCCCAGTAGAAAGCGAACCCCCCCCCCCTCCCCCCCGTCATCAGAGGCTTCCTCAACAACAACATTATCCGTAGTAGAAGAATCAGGTATAGAGGTAGGAGATGTGGCAGCCCGAGAAACAGGAGAAAACTCTTCATCATCATCATGCACCAAGGGCAAAGATGGAAAGAGAGTTGTAGGCGCAGCCGGAGAAGAAGAAGCCATGTAAGGAAATTTTGACTCAGAAAAAATCACATCCCTTGAAACAAGGAAAGTCCCAGACTCTAAATCATAAACTTGCCAACCTTTTGTCCCAAAGGGATAACCGACAAACAAACATCACCTACTGCGACTAGCAAACTTATCCCCCTTTCGGTCCTGGTTGTGTACATAACACAAGCAGCCAAACACACGCAGATGGGAGAGGGAAGGTGGTTTGCCATACAATAAGTCACAAGGTGTTTGACCATGTAAACTAGTCGAAGGAATGCGATGAATCAGGTAACCAGCAGCTAAAATACACTCCCCCAAAATTCAATAGGCAGACGAGCTTGAAAACGCAAAGCGCGAGCAACATTAAGAATATGGCGATACTTATGCTCTACATGACCATTCTGCTGAGGGGTACCAACGCAAGATGTTTCATGCAAAATGCCAGTCTTGCGAAAATAAGAAGTCATACACATAAATTCAGTACCATTATCGCTACGCACAGTTTTGACCAACTTGCCATATTGACGCTCAACCATAGCAAAGAAATTTTGTAAATTTACAGAGACCTCCGTCTTATCAATCAACAAATAAATCCAAATAGCTCGCGAAAAATCATCAACAATGGTCAAAAAATAACGTGCGCCAGAAAAAGAGGGGGTCCAATAAGGACCCCACAAATCACAATGTATCAAATCAAAAATCGCATGAGTCTTAGTAACACTAGTAGGAAAAGTATCACGAGTCTGCTTGGCCCGGAAACAAACATCACAAGCCTTATTACAATGACTACTAGAACCTCTAGAACCAGTATGCAGAAGTAATTCTAAAACATTCGGAGATAGATGTCCTAACCGTTGATGCCATAAATCAAAGGAAGAGAGTCCAGAGGACACCGCAGCAGCAGTAGTCTCCACAGCCCGAAAAAAATCCCGGACATTATGAAAATAAACCAAAGAGCCCGACATATGATGATTGGCTCCAGAATCATACATCCACCTGTAAGAAAGGGGCTTACCAAACAACTTCGGGGAAGTCCCTAATTTGGCTGAGTTTAACAAAGTAAGCAAATAGACCATTGTTCTTGGTTCAAACCAATAATCGCGCCGGTGGAAACACCCGAACCGAAACCAGAAATCGGTTGAACCGCAGTATGAACAGCTGCACCAGGAACCGACCCAACCAAGCCAGCCAAACCAACCGAGCCTGTTGAACTAGAACCCAATTGAGAACCGTGACCAGATCCGCGACCTTTTCCACACCGCCGCCGCCACTATTCGATCGAATAAGAGGCCAATTTTTTGGGTACCCGATCAATTGAAAGCACTCAGAAACCTCATGGCCAGTGTTATGGCAGTGAGAGCAGAGGAGATTTCGCCAGGAGCCGCGACCGCGTTGCTTGGAATTGGCCGGCGAAATCAAAGCAGCAGCATCCCCGGCTACACGAGTAGAAGGACGAACGCCGGAAGATGTTTGCACAGCAAAGGCCATCTGAGAATCAGAGGAAGACTCATGTTGCACCACAGAACGGAGTCGCTCTTCCTGAACAACAAGAGAATACGCGCACTCAAGGTTTGGAAGAGGATCAGTCGACAGAATGGTGGAGCAAACCGGAGCAAGCAAATCGAAATTCAGGCCCATGAGAAACTGATGAAGATGTTCAGTCTCACGATGGGTTTCCAGAACAATCGCCATCTTAACTTGACAGGGAGCACACAGCTCGGTGATCGGCAGCGTATCAGAGTCACCAACATCATCCCACAATTTTTGAAGGCGGCCATAATAAGTTTCGATGGAGGAGCCATGCTGCTTGCATTCGGCAAGATCCGTCTTCAACTGCTAGACTCGGGAAGCAGTGACGACGGAGAAACGGTCATAATGGTGATCCCAAAGATCGGTGGCGAGTTCTTTCTGAGGAACAGTCGACCGGAAAGAAGGGTCGATGACATTAAGCAGCCATGATGTAATTAGCAACTGAATTGTCCACCAATCATCCACGTTCTTGGCTTTGTGTGGCTTCGAAATAGAAAGATCGACAAAGCCAAACTTTTTGCGAGTCCGAAGAGCCATTCGCACAGCTTTAGACCACTCAGCATAGTTGGAAGCCCCCTTCAAGTGCACATGGGTGATCACATTGCCGGAGTGATCGTTGGAAGTAATATCGTAAGGAGAAATCATCCGATGATCAGTGGCACTATCCTCGGAGGAAGAAGAATCGGAGGAGGAAGAAGCATCTTTCTCGAACATGGTGACTCCTAAGAAAAACCAGCAACAGCAACAAGAAATCAGTCGCCAGCAACAGCAAGAAATCAAAGCTTAAAGATGACGCCCAGCAACAGCAGCAGCAGCGTCGACCCACTCAACGACCACCAGCAGCAGCAACAACAACGACCACCGGCAGCAGCAAGAAGAGACCACCGACGGAAGAGACAAGCACCAGCAACATCGAGCGGCAGCAACAGCTTTGAGCGGCAAGAGCGAAGTATCAGCAGCAACGGCTGATCAGCAACAGCAAAGAACCAGACTGAAAATCGGAGCAAAATCTGATGAAAAATCAGACGGAGAAGCAGCATCAACCGACAGCAGGAGCGAAGAACCAGCAGCGACGGTTGATCAACAAGAACTAGACTGAAAGCCGGAGCAAAATTTGATGAAAATCAGACGGAGATGTTGGATTTTTTCAGATGAAGAAAAAGAAAGAAAAAAGGAACTCATCGTTAAAGAAGAGAAAAGAAAAAGTCTGATAAAAACTAGTTACTTTCTTTTGATGAATAAAATACTAACTGTCTTTAAATAGATTTTACATAGTAACCATGAAGAGAAAAAATAAGAATCAAATCTCACCTTGACTGAAACTAAAAAACAAGAAAATCAAGAATAATCTAAACAACTAAATAATTGACCAAATCTACTTTGAATCAATCTCCAACACTCTCCCATGATTCAAAGTAGCAAAAAAAATTTTTTTTTTGATGCGAATGAAAAATACGAATTTTGACGCACTTTCTCGTCAAATTTGTTGATGCACTATCTCACCAACCTTGTTGATGCACTCTCTCACCAACCAAACAATTTTGGAGTACTTCAATTCTCCTATTTGTTGATGCACCTTCTCACCAACCTTCTTCAAAAAAGTGTTTCTTCTTCAGTTTCCAACATAACATTGGCTTGTTCTTTAACTTAGGTCCTACAATTTATTTGTAGGTGTCAAAATCTTTTGCACTTATAGCATTGAGGCTTTCCTCTAAACCAGCAGTCTTTTTCTTCATGACCTGGTTTCTTGCAATTTTTGCATTCAGTGATTTTACCCTTCCCTTTGGAGACCCTTGCCATACAAGTTCTATCAATTACTTGTTCCTTTCTAGTATTTCTCATAATTCTTCTCTGCTCTTGTGCTTGTAGAGAGCTGATCAATTCTGATGGAGTCATTGTACTAATATCTTTTGATTCTTTGAGAGACGAGATTTTTGCTTCAAATTTTTCTGGCAAGCTCACAAGCATCTTTTCTACAATCCGGCTGTCAGGTAGTTACTCTCCCATCAAGCGAATTTTGTTCACCACTGTCATCAACTTTTCAGAAAAATTCTCCACAGTTTCTTCTTCTTTCATGCTAAAAAACTCAAAATCTCTTTTAAGATTTAAGACCTTCATTTTCTTCGTCTTCTCATCACCTTGATATTGTTGGTGCAAAATATCCCAAGCCCCTTTGCTTTCTCACAAGTCATGATTCTTGTGAAACTGACTCTGAAACGGCTGAAAAAATTATTGATAAAGCTCTTGGAGCTCTCGTTTCTTCTTCTTCATGAGCCTTGATCTGAGAAAGTGTCCGATTGTTACCTAGAGGTGATAATTCCACTTCATTAGCAACCCACTGCCAAAGACCAAGACCCTTTAAATGAGCTTTCATTTTGACAGCCCAAACTTGATAGTTTTCACCTTTGAAAATTGGTGGTGGAGGAAATGAAGGATTGTTAGAAGCCATGTTTTTTTCTTTCACAGGCTCTCAGGATCAAAAAGCTCTGAATACCATGTTGGCTTTTTTCAGATGAAGAAAAAGAAAGAAAAAAGGAACTCACCGTTAAAGAAGAGAAAAGATAGAAGTCTGATAAAAACTAGTTACTTTTTTATGATGAATAAAATACCAACTGTCTTTAAATAGGCTTTACATAATAATTACCATGAAGAGAAAAAATAGGAATCAAATCTCACCTTAACTGAAACTAAAAAATAAGAAAATCAGGAATAATCTAAACAATTAAATAATTGACCAAATCTACTTTGAATCAATCTCCAACAGAAGAAGCCGCAGCAACTGACACCCAGAAAAATGATGAAGATGCTCGCGAACAAACAACAACAAAAAAAATGATGAAGGCAGCGGAATCAAGAACGATGACACCCAAGAAAGATTCTTGCGATTGATACCATGCGAATAAGATTGAGACGGCCGGTGTTAATTAGAAGTCGTAAAAACCGTTATATTATTAGGGTTTATACATTGACAGCCTTATATAATACAACAAGACCGTAAAATGTAACAATGAACCGTAAAATACAACATTACTATTTACATCCGCATTAATATATTTCTTATTATTTTTCTCTCTGAAGAGTAAAATGGTGAACGATTCTTGTGAGAATGCTTATGATATGGAGCAACATTGACACGAGTGTGATTCTACCTAAGGTTTTCATTTTTTTTCTTTTTTTTTTCTTTTTTATGGGGGTGGTTTGTGTCTCCTATTTTGAACATGGATCGGGAAATGGAACCGTTTAAAACTGGATAATGTACGACTATGTTGTCATGGTTGACTTTATGAATCAAACTTTTATTCTTTTTTCTTTTTGGTACAAGAATCAACTTCTATTCACTTCATAAAAGATGCATAAAATTCTTATAGGTGGACACGTATTTGTTCAATTATCAACTAGTGTTTATAAACCTCAAGTAGCCGATGGATCTTTTCCTAATCAATTCCCAACTTGAACTTCTAAAACCTCCTTTTGCTAATTAAACATCAACTTTACTACTTCAGCAAACCACGTTAGATGGACTAGGCTAAGACACATAATCATCAACTAGTGTTTATAAACTTGAACTACTGAAACCTCCGCTAATTAAACGTCAACTTTACTACTTCAGCAAACCACGTTAGCTGGACTCAGCTAAGCAAAGCTAATTCAACGTCAACTTTATGAATCAATTAAACCTCTACTAATTTCATTAGTCATTTGTTATGAATTCGGGAGTACGACGAATTTTGAAGACAACTTGGGATAATTAGGTTGGTTGTTGTGCAAAGGTGTTAGGCTAATATTGTGTGAACTAGTTAACTAGTTTGTTACTCATTATTTTACATTAATGGAAATTTGAACAAAAATTAAAAGAGTGCGCATGAAACTCAGAGATGAAATAGACGGCCGCATACAACATAGCCGACAAATAAGAATTGTATATTTATTAGGGTTTGGTACAACACATATATATTCTATACAAGGCCGTAACTTGGTAATATTATCCCGTAAAGATATAAATAACATTTACATCCGTATTAAAGAGCAAGAAACATCCATTTAAAGATAGAGATCGACTTGTCAATGATAAACAAGTGATACTTGGAAGTAAACGTTTTAAAAATTGCATTAGAAAAAAAAAAAAAACTGTACAAAAAATTACGTACCGTTTCAATAATGCACTTGATCAGATACAACCTATATTGTTAAAGAAGTGGAAGGGTTTTTGTCCACTTGCACAGTTATTGCACTATCGTTGGTAGCAGGTTTTAAGCAATTTGGAGAAGAGTATAACAAAAACAAAAAAAGTAAACGGCCTAACGTGTTACGGTACATGTAAATAGGCCATGCACCTTGCTGTATAGTAAACGTACGCTGCATTTAAATTCAAATTGAAGCAAAACATGACATGATTTTTGAACGACTGTTTTAAATTTTTAATCTTGTCCGCGGGATATAGCAACTTGACATGTGGGAATCGGCGCAGATGGTATATATGAATTTGTTCATCAAATGGTTGATCATGTGAGCGAATGAGTAACGGTGGTGCTTTGCTTGCAAGTCGATCCGCATGAAAACTGGACAATTTGAGAGTTGTAGCTTGGTGCACTTGTATTTTTAAAATATGATAATTAATTGACTTATTTTGTGAGCAGTTAACTTTATGACAATTACTAGATTGTTATTTGCTGAGAAATTAACAACCGCTCACTTACAATATTGTTTGTCTATGATTAGCAATTCTTTCTATTGCCAGCTAGAGATGTTAATTTTGAAATCGATGTATGCAGTAATAAAACTATTATAATTGGAATTCCAAAAATTATTAATTTATCGATAAATTAATAATTATTAATTTACTAATAAATTAAGAATTAGTTAATAAAATTTTGAAAAAATATTGTAACAAGTGTTACTAAAAAATTGATTTATGATGAAAATAATAATGATTCAATGTCTTCAAAACCAATCAAAGGAAAAGAAACACTTAAGGTGACAATCACTATTCGAAATATTTTATTGCAATATGAGAAATCTACACTAGAGCTTTGAAGTAATAGAAAAATCAAAAATAAAATCTCTTTAGATATAAATTGTTAAAAGAAACAAGCACTAGTTCCTAATTTTTTATAGATTAATATATTTCAAAACATTATTAATTTATGATATTGACGGAACTTATATTTACATATAAGTTTTCTGAAAATTATTATTTTATTATTTTTGCGATTGTCTTTAATTTTTATACTGATCCCAACTTTGAACCAGAAAGAGTTATTAATTTATATATGTTACTAATATTTTAATTATTAATTTATAGATGTTCTACTGTTTTTTTTTTCTGGAATGTAATCAGCAACCAATTCAAAAGAGAATCAACTACAAACAAAAAGAAGTGAAGACACTTTTTTTTTGTATTTTAATAAGTGGTGTAATAGGACATCTATGACTACTACTAAATATTGTTATCTAGTCACAGTAAATTATAGATATTTGAAAAAATATTTTTAGATTTAATTTTCATATAATGAGACAACTTAAAGTCCTAGTAATGAAGCTAAAATACTGCACACCAATCTAAATAATACACTTAATCACTTATGATTGTGTTTCATTATATTCATACATTTTCATTCTTCGATGGAGCACTTTTTTAAATTTAAATAGATGTCGTAATACATACATGCATGAACGAGACACATTTTCGGAAAAATGTCTTACCATAAGCAATATTAAGAGCCCATGTTTGTTGTAGTGAATATTCGGCAAACCTTTGAGAATTTCTTGTGCCTTGGGAGTTAAAATGTGCACATGGTGGATGGAAAATAGAATATAGCAGTTTATGCAGTATTCAGATACAGATAATCCACCGTATTTGATTGAACAATATTATTCAATCATTCAACAAAAGAGAAAAGGCAGAATGCTAGAGATCGAATGCAAAGATGACAACTAAAACCTTGGGGATGTCCTACAGCTTATGCAAAATCAATTGTGCACCGTGCTGAGGTTGTAGCGTAATAATGCTGTAAGGAGCATGAGTGTAGGACGGAGAAAGATTAAAGGCGTAGCGCCGCAGAATCATTGACATCGCCAATTTTACTTGCATCATAGCAAAGTTCTGTCCTATACATATTCGAGGTCCCCAACCAAATGGAAAGAATGAAACTTCACCCTTTGATGCACTCGAAATCCCTTCGCTAAATCTCTCGGGATTGAATTCTTTTGCATCGTCGCCCCATATTTTTGTGTCGTGATGCAACAGTATAACTGGCACAACTATTACAATCCCTTCGGGCAACAGTAAATTCCCGATCTTAGTTTCTTGTTGAACCCGCCGATCAAATGAAGCCAGCGGAGTGTACAATCTGAGAACCTCGTTAAAGATCATTGTCAGCTGCAAAAAGGAGAGATGTGAACAACAACTGAGGATTCATTTCTAAAAGTTAGCTTACCTAACCGAAAACAACCTTTCCAGACCAAAAAGATGATGAAATATGGAATAACTTACTATTTTAAGGTGATTGAGCCCCTCAAAATTTGGATCATTTCTTCCAAATACTCGTAAGACTTCTTCTCTAGCGCGCGATTGCCACTCTTGATGTCTGCTAAGTAGAACCAGTGTCCATGCAAGCAATGAAGAAGCTGTCTCCTGTCCTCCTAAATAAAACAGTTTGCATTCTTCGATAACATCTTCGGTGCTCATGCCAAGAGATTTGTCACCCTGCTGTGTTCCAATCTCTTTTAAATTAGACTTCAATAATATGTTCAACAAATCATCATTTGTAGGCTCTCCGGCTTTCATTGCTCTCATTCTTTTATCAATCAATCCTCCGATTATAGCATAAAGTTGTCTTTGAATATCTTTTATTCTTCTCATCCGCTTAGTTGGTAGGAACCTGCATATCATTTACCATATATATGGGCATATACCTCCTTGATCATGCAACCCAAAACAAAGAAAGAAATTAAAAGGCGAGGTAATAAATTAAGTTTACCTTGATCCAGGAAAATAGAATGATTTCACCTCTTTCATAACAAGTTCTGCTTGTTCTGTTTGAAGCTCAAATATATTCCTTCCCTCTTCATAATTGCTTCCAAATGCCGTACGAGAGATAGCATCACTGGTAAACTTGTGAAGATCTGGCCAAACATCACGTTCGCAAGAGCCATTGTTCTGCAAAATGCTTTCATCCCATTTGCTCAACATGTCACTGGCACATAATCTAAAAGCTGGCAACATATGCTGAATTCATACGAAAAACCAATCATATACAATGAGATGTGTGAGACTAGCAGTTAGCACTAAAGAGAGATTTCTTGGTTACAAAAACAAAAAACAAAAACCTTGAGCTTCTCAGGATGGAAAGCTGGATTGATTAATCTACGATGTTTTCTCCATATTTCGCCTTCAGTTGCAGCTAGTCCTTTCACTAGATAATCGCCAAGAGGATGAAAACGATTCTTTTCGTAGAGGGTATACTTGTGAAAGATCTCCCTCACATGTTCAGGGTCTAAGATCATTACTGCAGGAATTGGACCAAGCCACATAAAGCAATTCTTACCTGTTTATAATTCATTCATATGTGATATATCACTCCAATGAAATTGCGAAAAAATACGAAAAAAATACGACTAGAGAAAATCAAATTGATGAATGAATTTCACTGACAGTATCAACACGTACATACCATATTTGTTGATGGTGTCAATGAGAAAAGGCAAAGCTCGGGGCACGATATCATCAGAAAGGTTGATTGGCTTCGATGCAGCTTCTTCAATCATCATAACCAACTCCTTGAAATCTCCAAACAAAAATTTGTAGGGTTTCCCGGCGAGGCCTTGCGCTCTTAGGAGGTTCTCCAGCTTCTTAGGCCTAAACCATACAGAATTCAGTATCTTCCACCCCAAGTATAGAAGAAAAGAAAGAAGAACACAGGAAATTATGAACGGTACTGTAAGCCCAATATTGTTCATGTTTTTTTTTCTTTCACTTTTTTCCACCTAGCTAGCTGATCAGGACGTTTTCCAATCCTAATAATAGCAATGAAACTCTCCAGCCAATTCTAATGAAAGAATCATTTCTTAAGGTTGCTTAAGTCAAACTGATGAGAACGGGTTGACACTTTTTTAGTTTTTTTTTCCCTTTACTTTTATTGTTTTTTAAGCAATTGTAAATTTGATAATAATTATCCGTTAATCAGTATAATGCACATCCACTCATGGACTTTATTCTCTTATTACACTGATTGACGTAAATTTAAAGTAATCTCAAGTCTAACTGATCCCTTAAGGCGGCTGCTACGCAAGTTGTCTTACGTGCAAAAAGTCAAATACGTACAAGGTTTGATAATTTCACCAAGAGATTCCAAGTGGTTTGACATAATATTTTCTACGTTAGTACCAGCCAATATTTGCTGGATCGCGATTCTACGTAGGATCGAAATAGGGTTATAGGATCGGATCGTAAACGGGATCGGTAGGATCGGAATAATAGGATCGTAAAATTAATTATATATGTTATATAATTAATTGATTTAATAATTATGTTTCAATTATCTTTAAATAAAGTATTTAACATTTAAACGAAAAGAATTCTGTAAATTAAATTTTCGTATGTGAATTTTTTCTTAACTTTTTAATTAAAACTCTTTCTCATATAGTTATTATTTTCATTTTATTAGAAAAACTTTCTAAAATACATTTTTCTTAGCAATGAAAGTTTCCTCAATGAATATTAGCCTCAATTGAACGTAGACCAAAAGAAATAAGAGAAAAGAAAATTTTTTCAATAAACTCAATTAATTTTTTGTAATTAATGAATAGTAAACTCAAACAGCTACGATCATGACCGATCCTGTATGATTATAACCGATCCTGACCCATCCCACTGCGAGCCCACTACAAAATTCGAGTTTGAAACGATCCAGGATCGATTTAGGTACTTGGGATCGTAGGATCGGACGATCCTACGATCCAGGATCGCGAGTTTGCAAACTATAGTACCAGCTGGCTCGAATCCAAATTAGTCGGAACAATAATTTCGGATACCGATCCTACGATCCAGGATCGCGAGTTTGCAAACTATGGTACCAGCTGGCTCGAATCCAAATTAGTTGGAACAATAATTTCAGATACCGAATTCGTAATATACCAATATTTTCTACCTTGCTATAATTATATGAACATAAAGTGCTACCAGCAATACGCCATTCAGATCCCATTTTTTCCGGCATAAAAAAAATGAGGCAGAAAGAAAAATCACTGAAAAAAATACGACACAGCTTAACTCTAATAATTGATCATTTACAGAGACTTTGTGGGAAAAGTTGACACTAACGAAACAAAATTCGCGCCACGACATATTAGCTTCATCTTCACTATCAATATGATAATTGTCTCATATGATAATTATCTAGAGTTATGATATTATGTAGTTAAAATTATCTAAAGTTGTGGTTAGGTTTATCTTGTATTTGATATTATCCCATGTAGCACTATCTAGTTGTTAGGGTTTTCTATATAAATATATGTAATAGTTATAGATCAATCGCTTAATACAAGTTATTCCATTCTCTAAGTTGGTATCAAGCCAGGTTACAAAACCTTTTTTTTCTTCTTCTTCTTCTTCATCATCTTTGGTAAAAGATAAACTAGAAGTGAATGAAATCTCAATCTATGAGACTACTTCCATTGAGTACGTATATATATAGTGAGTTTACAGAATCATGATAATTACACATTATAATATTTTCATAAACAATCTGATTCTAGTCTATCAATACTGATAATACAAAATACTTTCTATACAAGATAATTACATGTTCTATTCTATCATCCCCCCTCAATCGAAGCATGAAGATCAAGCATGCCGAGATTGGTTCGAAAACCAATGAACTTAGCCTTGAATATGGATTTAGTAAAGATATCAGCACGTTGCGCCAAGGTCAAAATGTGTTCAACAGTAAGCTTTCCGGCAAAAACACGATCACGGACAAAATGGATGTCCAGCTCGATGTGCTTAGTTCGAGCGTGATTCACTAGGTTAGCAGCAAGATAAGTGGCTGATATATTATCACATAAGATAACCGGCTTCTTGGGAAGTTTGATGAACAAATCCGAAAGTAAATATTCAAGCCAGGTAGTTTCAGCCACAGCAGAAGCAACCGCACGATATTCTGATTCGGCTGAGGACCTGGAAACCGTTGCTTGCTTCTTAGAGGACCAAGACACTAAAGAGGAACCAAGAAACACACAAAATCCAGTAGTTGATCTGCGAGTAACAGGACAGTCAGCCCAGTCAGCGTCGGAATAAGCAACAATTCGATCTAAAGGGCCAGGTTTGAGTTGAAGACCAAAATCAAGGGTTACCTTGATATAATGCAAGATGCGTTTTACAGCTTGAAAATGTTGATCTTCGGGATTGTGCATGTGTTGACAGACCAAGTTGACAGCATATTGAATGTCGAGTCTAGTAAAAGTGAGATATTGGAGACCACCAACAATGCTACGATAAAGAGTTGGGTTATGAAACAGTGGAGAACTTCCAGAGGAGAATTGAAAACCAGGAACTAGAGGAGTGGCAACTGGTTTGGAATTAGAAAGATTACTCCGATTGAGAAGTTCTTTAGCATACTTTCGTTGATGAAGAAACCAACCATGCTGAAATTTGTTAATAGAAATACGCAAAAAATAACTAATCGGGCCAAGATCAGTCATGTCAAATGCGCCTTTCATAGACTGAATGAGGGAATTAAACAAAGAGATACTGGAAGCAGTCAACAAAATGTCGTCGACATATAATAAGATGATGCCATATGCGAACCGGATTTGTAGACAAACATAGAAGAGTCAGCACGACTACAAGTGAAGCCTTGACTTAATAAAAAGGTAGTGAAGCGATTGAATCATGCTCTAGGAGCTTGCTTTAAGCCATATAGAGCTTTGTTCAATTGACAGACATGGTGAGGATAGTCTGGATGAACAAAGCCAGTTGGCTGTTTCATGTAGACAGTCTCGTTTAAATGGCCATTTAGAAAAGCATTTTTAACATCCAATTGATGTTAGAATAGTCCAAATTGTCACGGGTTTAACCACAGGACTAAACGTTTGATCGTAATCAAGGCCAGGTTGCTGATTATAGCCTTGGGCGACCAAACGTGCCTTGCAACATTCTAAAGAACCATCAGCTTTAAGCTTAATGCGATAGATCCATTTGGAACCAATGATATTGGCATTGATGGGAGAAGGAACCAACTGCCAAGTTTTATTTTGAAGAAGTGCATTATATTCATTCGACATGGCTTGACGCCATTTTGGATGTTTGAAACATAGTTTTTGATGTTTGAAAGTCCAAGAGCAGGATGAGGGGAGGGATTGGAAGGAGCAACAGAGGAATCAGAGATTGGAGCGGAAGGACGAGGATTAGCAGAAGAAATCGCGGAATCAACCATAGTGACGGCGGTGAGGAAAACGACGGCCAACAAAGATAGAAAAACTTAGGTTTTTGAAAGAAAACCTAGTCTCGTGATACCATAAAAGATAAAATAGAAGTGAATGAAATCTCAATCTATGAGACTGCTTCCATTGAGTACGTATATATAGTGAGTTTACAAAATCATGATAATTACACATTATAATATTTTCCTAAACAATCTTATTCTAGTGTATCAATACTGATAATACAAAATACTTTCTATACAAGATAATTACATGGAATTATTCTATTCTATCATTTGGCCGCCACCCTCCTTCTCCATTTTTAGGTTACTGACCCCTTCCTCTTCTGCCGGCACCTCACTTTTCCAGCCAGCACACACAACCCTTCCTATCCCTTTCCCACCGAAATCTGCTTCTTCTTCCTTAATTGGCCATGTGCCTTCACCATATCATTTGAGTCTTACAAAAAATAAAAAATAAAAAAATCAAATTACCTAGGCCTAACCAACCCACGCAGCAATCTCTATTACATCATCCATCATAAGCCATCATCACTATCACCATCATCCATCACCCCCATCACCATCTTCGCCGCAGCACAAAAAAAAAAAAAAAAAAAAGAAACCTCTCTCCTATGGTCTCCATCCTCGTGCTAATCCACTTGATCGTCTTGTTGCCTATTTAGATGCTGATTGGGCAGGGTGCCCTACGACTCGTCCCACCACTGGATTCTGTGTCTTTTTGGGATCCTCCTTGGTCTCTTGGTCCTCCAAAAAGCAATCTACTGTTTTGCGCTCTTCAGCAGAATTCGAGTATCGCGTAGTTGCTTCAGCCTTAGCTGAGACTATTTGGTCGGAACATCTTCTTTCTGAGCTTCACGTCACCTTTCCAAAATCTCCTGCTATATTGTGTGATAATGTTTCTGCTACCTACCTCGCTGCTAATCTTGTCTCTCATGCCAGAACGAAGCACATTGAGTTAGATATTCAATTTGTTCGCGATTGGGTTACCGCTGGACTTCTTTCTATTTGCCATATTCCTACACAGTCTCAGCTGGCAGATGTTTTTATCAAGTCCTTAGCCAAAGATAAATTTTATTTGTTTCGTACCAATCTAGGCATGATATCTCATCCTGCTATGATTGCAGGGATGATAGGATATGTAATTTAGGTAACCCTAATAAGGGTTTCCGTAGACGGCTAGGGTTTCTGTACACATTGCCTATATATATTGTACCGTACATACATGAAAATATAATAACAAAATTAATTCTTTCACAAGAAAACACCCAAAAAAAAAACCCCCAAAAACTTCTGTGGCACGTTGCCCCTTTTCCATCTTCGTTTTTCTTCTTTTTTTTTTCATTGTCACGCCTATCTTCTTCCCTCGGCCCCCTTCCTCCTCTCGGTAAAAAGAAAAAGACAACATGGAACCATTCTCCCCTACTCTTACTCTTTCTTCAATGTTCTCTTCCCCTTCCAGCCATTTTTGCTTCCTTATTCTTTCCTCTGTCCAGTGTTGCTTCACGTCTATCGTCA